GGCCGGGGCTGGGCGCCGGATTGCGATGGAGGGTCCCCGCGCAGGGAGCTGCGGGCACCTGGTGTTTGGGGGTCAGCACAGCGTTCTGGGGGAAACGCCTTGAACCTGTCGCCAGGGCTTTTAAATTGGGAGATGTTACCAGAAACCCGGGGTCTTTCCCAGAATATGTGTTTTTTATATATATTTCTATGTATGTTTTTCTATAGATAAGATGTTTAAGTGTAAACACATATGTAATGTATACTCTTAAAAAAATCTATATTTTTAATTGATTTCAGAGAGAGGGAGAGAGACGCAGAAACATCCATCGGCTGCCTCCTGCGCGCCCCCTACTGGGGATGGGGGAGCCTGCACCCCGGGCATGTGCCCTGATGGGGAATGGAACCGGGACCTCCTGGTTCCTAGGTCAACGCTCAGCGGCTGAGCTACACCGGCCGGGCTATGCTATAATATTATATAAATATAAGACTGGGAGACACTCATCCTGAATTCCCATATGACAGCCATTGACTGGAGCTGGGGGGGTGGCCCATCCCTCCAAATGGGGCCTGAATTCTCTTCGTTGGCCACAGTTCACACCCCCCACCATTGCCTTTTATATTTTTGATGGTGTTTCCTTTTAGCGAAGTTAGGGGCAAAGCGAAATAGTCTCACATTTACGTGTCTGTCATTCTCAGAAAGAAATATATAGATAAAGAAGGCTGAGGGTTTCAAGAAAAATTTGTTCTCGTGCCCCCTGACTAGCTTCACGCGTTTATTACCTGCCTGGTGTCCACGGGCATTCACGTGTGACCTCGGTTAGATTCGGGGACGCGCATGACAAGCTCAGAGCACGTCAGGGGGAATGGGTGGAAGCTGAGGATTTAACGGTGGGGTCTGTGGTGTTTAGATACATAAACTGCATGTGTACAAATGCGTGCATTCCCTATGTCTGTGTACCTAGAGTCGACCAGTCTCTCACCCAATTCACGAATCCCCTTAAAACAGCCCTGATGGATGAAGCCGTGAGTAGGACACAGAATTTTTTTATTTTATTGATAGAGAGAGAGAGAGAGGGAAACATTAATGATGAGAGAGAGTCATTGATCGGCTGCCTCCTGCGTGGCCCCCAGTAGGGATCAAGCCTGCAATCCGGGCGTGTGCCCTCACCGGGAATCAAACCTCAATTGCCTGGATCCTGGGTCAGTGCTCAACCTCTGAGCCACGCCGGCTGGGCACCAATATGTGTTTTTTAAATATTAGGGCCCCAACAATGAATATTGGGGTTTTACATTAAAATACCGACTCTGGCTTCTTTTAAGAAATGAGATTATCTAACAACACTCACCCTACGTTTCTGCATGGCAGCAGTTACCTGGAGCTGAACAATGGCTGCCACCATTAGATAAGGCATGTATGTGTTCTTCCCTTTGCCACAATCCCCACCACTCCCTATGGTGTTCCTCACAGTGATTCCAGCCCACTTCACTTAGTTAAAAGGCAGGGAGAGGAGCCAGCAAAGAAGACTAAAGAGCCACTAGACAGAAAAGGCAGGCGGGTTATTGATAAAAGGGAATGTCGACCAGCCTAGCCCAGTGCTGCTGATTTGGTCTAACACGATAAGGACATGTCCTTTGGTCTTCTAGTCACCTGGAGGTCATTGGTAACCTTGGTGAGAGCCACTGCATTGGCTGGAAGGGAGGTTGTAAGGCACTGAGGAATGAATGGGAGAAAATGGGGCCGGGGCCAGGAACTTGTTCAAGACGTTCAGCTTTGAAGGACAGCGTGTCGTGTTGAGAAACCACAGGATAGACTCAGTGTTGTCAACCTGGAGCGTGAATTTGGCTTGAATATTTGTTAAAAAAAACCATGGTATTTAGATTAAAACAAACCTGTTATGGAGTGGTGAGGCCTTTGGGAGAGGAGGAGATTGAGGAGACTAGAAGACGCAGAACTGAGCTAACTTATCTTTTTTCCAAGCGCTCTACCCATCCCTTCACTCTCATCATCTCGGGTTGTTCTCACAATGACCCTATGGAGTGTGTTTCTAGAATGTCCTTTATTGTGCAGACAAGCGAGCTAAGGCTTGAGGGGTCAGGTCACACGGCTGGTAAGTGGTAGGGCTGGGGTGCGAATCTGACTGTCGCACCGAATGTCTGTATATTCAACTATTTCAGAAGCATTTGCTGAGAACACTTTCTTTCCCCATTGAATTGCTATGACACTCTTTTGTCAAAAATCAATTGACCATATCCGTGCGGGTCTATCTTTGGACTTTCTTTTCTGTTCTGTTGATCTATATATGTCTTTTATTTCCACAATAGCACCCTGCCTAGACTGCCGTAGCTTTATAGTGAGTCTTGAAATGACTTAAGTTTTCCAACCTTGCTCTTTTCAAAATTTGCTTTGGCTGCTCTGGGCTGCTTGCACATGCATAAATTTTAGAATTACCTTGTCAATTTTGGTAAAAAGGCCTGCTGGGGTTTTGTTTGGGGATTGCGTTGACCATTAGGATACGTTTCCAAAAAGGAGTTAGTGAGAGGATTGGATCTCATTTCCTACAGACCGTGGAGGGAAATTTCCCTCAAGCGGGTGACCGTAGCCTAAAGGTCGCTAACTCGAGTTACAGGGTAAGGCAGGCACGGGAAATGAGTGGAGGGGTCAGGCCTGAGACGATACATAGCAGGTGATCTCGGGCCATCGTGGAGGAATGACAGGGTACAGTGAGGACTTGGTCAAGCAGGAGAACCTAAGCCCTGTCTAAGTGGGGCGATCGCTTCTCAGCCCCGTGCATTTGCCGTGCAAGGGATGGGGGTTTAGTATTGTTCAACCTCTCAGTGAAGAGAGGCTGGGAATCCAGATGTATATGCAGTCTTCCAATTTTAAAATTAAAATTTTAGACGTTGAGCCCGGCCGGCGTGGCTCAGTGGTTGAGCGTCGACCTGGGATCCAGGAGACCGCGGTTCGATCGCTGTCAGGGCGCAGGCCCGGGGTGCAGGCTCCTCGATCCCTAGCAGGAGGCGCGCAGGAGGCAGCCGATCAGTGACTCTCATCATGGATGTCTCTCTCTCCCCCTCTTCCTTCCTCTCTCTGAAATCAATAAAGACATATTTTAAAAAAAATTTTTTTAAACATTGAGCGGGTCAGTGTCATGGGGGTCAAACAGCTCTGTAGGCTTAAATGCGGCCTGCGGCCTGCCAGTCTGTGCCCTCTGCCGCTGGCTCATCAGTGCCACCGACAGTCTCTAAGGTTCTTTCTGTTTCAAGGATTGTACGTCTCAAAAGAGGAAAAGATAAAAAAAATTCTCATGGGTTTAGGAGATAGCTGAGAATGTCAGCGACGGTGGCTGGAGACGTTGCCCAGAGCTGGACGCCCTGCAGGCCACTGTCTGTCCTTCAGTCCTTCGCGAAGGAGACAGCAGAGACTTGCCCAGCCGCATGGCAGCTCCAGGCCACAAAGCCAGGCCCCCTCGTTCCAAACCCAGTGCCCTCTTTCCTGGTCCCGCCGTCCCCGAAGGCTCTAGACACAAACAGGCACTTTGGGAGGGGAGCCGGTGAGGGAGCCGGAGAGAGGGCCCTCGGCCCAGCCGAGGCGGGCGTCTGGCTGGACGCAGACCGCAGCTTGGGGAAGCGCCGGGGCTTTGAGGTAAGAGCCGCAGCCTTTGTGAGACCCTGAAGGCCGGCGCTGTGGTACATACTCCATATTCATGGGCCGGTGCCTGGCACAGCACCTGACACGCAGTTAAAAGTTTTTACGTAAGCGAATAAATGGACGGATTGACCGAGGGAGGGGTCAAAGCCCCTAGATCAAGACCGGTGCGAATTCCGTCTGGAGAACTTCAAGGACAGAGCCGTCAAGTGCTCCCGGTTAAGAGCTGTGAGAATGTGAAGATCAAAAGCGGAGACCGGATTCGTGGAGCTCAGCTGACAGGGGAAGGCTCCCGGGTCCCTCTCGTTGACCGTCTCAGATCTGGGTTTTGATGAATAGATCGTAACCGCCTCCCAGGGAGGTGTGTTGGACAGCTCAGGCTCTGTGGGTGTAAGGAAACTAAGGCCGCCAAAGGGATTTGTGCGCCTTTAAAACTCCCAGACACAGGCCCTTATCTTTTGGGAGATGCGTGTTGAAATACGGGACGGTGTGATTCCTGGGATTTTGGTGGAGCGCCGTGGGCAGGGGAGGGGTAAAGACGGATCCAGACCAGACGTACGCTGGGAACACCGTGGGAGCTGGAAGACGGCTAGATGGGGTTTCAGGACGCTTACGTCTGTTTTGTGTATATTCGAAAGTTTTCATAATAAGCGGGAGAAACAGAAAATCAGAGGGCTTCGCAGGCTCAGCAGTGCTTTTTGGTCAACCGAGCTTCACTTCTCTGAGCTTGTAAACAGTACGGGCATTGAGGGAGAAATGAAAAAATAAAAAAAATAAATAAAGAGGAGTGTGGCAGAAATAAGAAGGAATATGGGTTTTCGGCGTGACCGCCGTAGCTCGGCTTCCTGTAGCTCTGTGACCTTGCGCAAGCCCCTGAACTTCCCCACGCCCGGGTCTCCGGGCCGTACAGGTGGGGTGACGCAGCAGAGACGACTCGGGCAGTAGACTCGGGTCTGTCGGGGTTTTTTTTTTTTTCATT